AGAGGCAAGTATCCTCCCCCTCTGAAGGACTCTATATACAGAATTCAACAATTATGCGTGGGAGCACGTGCGTGTATACACACACACACACACACACACACACACACACACACACACACAAAACAAACAAAAAACTTGGTCACCCTTCAGCTGTGGCACTAAGGACAGCTTTTGACATTCTTGCCACCCTCAGGATCCAAGCCACTTTGGAAGAGTGCTGTACTGTACTCTGTAGTTTTCCATTTCCTTATTCTTTCTGATTCTCATTCTGCAGACGAGAAGATATGTAATGTTGTTTGAAGGCAGCGAAGTGTAAAGGATGAGACGAGGCAGGACTCCTGTACAGTATCTGCTCAGCTGTTGAGGGAAAGCTCCTTTTGTGAAGTTCTAATGATGCTCATTTAACTGTGAGTATTCACATTCAGCCAGTAACACTGCGAGGGAGCAGCTGATACAGGTGCCAAAATCCTGTGTGCTGGAAGATGGGGTTCTGGAGACTCAAGTTACACTGAAGTGATGTGTCTTTCAGGACATACAGGGACCAAGTCACTTCCCTGTGTGAATGAGATACTGGAACACAGGGCTGTGGTGTTAGGAATCATTTTCTCCAACCACTTTTGGCTGATTTAATTTGAATGAGGCCCAGAGTGACAAGTTCAAGTTTACATAGAAAGTTAATAGCTGACCGGAGTCTAGAACTTTTTTCTACAGACGAATTCTACCTAGAGTTATAAAGTCTCCCCACTACCAGATGGAAAATTAGAATTACTGGTAGTAGTTTTGTCATAGCAAATCTTAGAAAAAAAGATTAAAAAAATAGGTAAGATTTTTATGACACAACACTGACCAGAAATTGAATTATTCATCTAAGTATTTTATGCTGTACATGTTATTAGTTGAATTACTAATATTTTTATTATTATTATGTGTGTATGAGTGTATTGCTTGCATGTCATGCAGTGCCCATGGAGGATAGAAAAGAGCATTGGATCCCCTGGAACTGGAGTTATGGCTAGTTGATAGCTGCCATGTGGGCCGCTGGAATTCAAACCTGGATCTTCCGCAAGAACAGCCAGTGCTGTTAACCACTAAGCCATATCTCCAGCCCCTATTTGGATTTTTTTTTTAATGACTTTTTTTTTCTCTTAATGAGATAACAAGCTATGTAGTGTCCTAAATGAACATCTGACTACCCCAGAGATGCGATTCTAGAAAGTTGCTGTCTAAGCAGGAGAGGCTGGCCTAGAATTTATGGATGTCCTCTTGTAATTACGTTTGTTGGAATCGAATAGAAATATTAGGAGTAAGAACCATTCTGTTGTTTCCCTCATCCTGTATCTCTGAGCTGAGCTCACTGAGGAATTTTATTTTGGCTGACCTGACAGGCGCAGGAGGGAGCCAGGTGCAGGGAGAGAAGCCTCCAGAGCTGGCCTTTCAGGAACTCTGACCAGGCTGTGTTCAGAAACCCACTTCCAAATGGCTTTCAAAGCCTCAGAGTTGATTTAAAGAAAATTCTGCTGGCACTGGTGAATTTTTCCTCCTAGAGGGTTCCCAAGAAAGGGGTAAAGAATTAAGTGATTCATTCCCAACATCTGATGGGCTCCCTTCAAATCCTGCCGCTCTGACCCACTTCTGTGGTTGTGCTCAAGTCGCCCCATCTGCGATGAGGTCATCTTGTTGGGGGCTCACAAAGGATTCCATGGGGAACACACATCATATACTGCAGCTATTCAACCATTCATTCCTCCTGGCTGCTCTGGGCTAACAATGAACCTTCTCAGCATTTCATGTGCTTACTAAAGAGTAGGGGGTTAGATGTCTTTCGGTGTACCGCCTTCCAGGCAACACAGTGCATTTATTATTACACCCTGGCCCTAATAAGGGCCTGGGAACAGCTTGGAGAGGTCTATAATTAAACATATTTAATAATAAATGTGCATACGTCTTAGGTACTGAGAAGTAAAAGCAAAGCATCTTTTCCTCCTTTCTTTCCCTTCTCCATCATCCTCCCCCTTTACAAATAAGAAAATCCAGGAATCTATTTTCTTTTTTCAAATAACAACTGCAAAGGATGTCTGGCTAGTGGGAAAGGGAAATTAAATTACTTGAGAACATTCTTTCCACGTTAAAAAAAAAAAAAAGGCTTTTGCTTACTTAGGTAGCTGTGCATGCAGAGAATTCGTTAAAAACCTGATTCTTTAATCACTTTGGATTCCATTTCCAAAGGCTCTGAGAGGGGGCGGTGACCCACTAGTAAGGGACATGCCTTGGGGGCTCAGCTGCCACTTGGATGGGCAGATTTTTCTCAGCTCACCGCTGTACTAGGAAGAAAGGAACAGTTAGAAGATTTTTCCCACAATGTGTTGCATGTCCTACCTAGTCCAGACACCCTGGTAACAGAATGTGTGCAGATATGGTTTCAGGGGGCAAAAGAGAGAAAAGAGGGCTCTATGAAATGTAGACAGGTTACAGAACAAGAAGTCACTGGAAGAAATGAAGATAAGGCCGTGGCAGGTCAACATGAAGATCAGGGAATTGCAACTTGCCGTGTGGGGAGGGGCCTATATATAAGCATAGGCAAGGCTAGGAGGGGATCCAGCCTGTCCCACCTGCCTGGGACCTGTTCTGTGACTGTGGGCAACTGTCTGGAGCATCTCTAAGGCTCTGTGTCTTTATTTCAAAGCCTCAGAGTTGATTTAGAGAAAATTCTGCTGGCACTTTATTAAATTCTGCTGGCATTTTATTAACTTTATTTGTAAAGTTAATAAAATAAGACAGTGGATAGATAGTCAAAACTCTAAGATTGGGAATCTTGTGAAAACAGCATGTTTTCTGAGTAGCACTTTATCTGTAAAACAAGGTGAAGAATACCCACCCGTCTCACATGATGTGAAGACTGAACGAAATAATGCACATTCCTAATACATAGTAAACCATCAGCAAATGTGAGGTGTTATTATCATTATTAATATAATTATATTTTTAAAAATAATTTTTTACTATTTTTATTTTACATGTATGCATGTATTGCCTGCATGTAAGTAAAGAAGAGGCTGCTGGATCCTTTGGAACTGGAGTTATGGATAGTTGTTAGCTGCCATGTAGGTACTAGGATTCGAACCTGGGTCTTCTGCAAGAACAACCAGTGTTCTTAACAGCTGAGCCATCTCTCCAGCCCCAATATAATTACATTTTAAAGGTACTTATTTGGCTGAAACTGCTTCTTTGGATGATTCAGCACCCAGGACAAGCATGTGACTAGAAGGAAAATAAACCATGTGTGCTGGATGGCTTTAGCTGTGAACTTGACACCTGGGTAGAGAGAGCCTCACTTGAAGAACTGCCTTCATTGGACTGGCCTGTGGCCATGTCTGTGAGGTATTTTCTTGATTGTTGAATGATGTGGGAGGGCCTAGCCCACTGTGGGTGGTGCCACCCCTAGGCAGGTTATCCTGTGTTATATAAGAAAGTAGGCTGAGCATGGGCCAGGGGAGCAAGTCAGTAAGCTCCCTAAGTGATGAACTGTGACCCAGGAGATGTAATCCACCCCCCCCCCGCCCCGCCCCGACGAAGTTGGTATTGTTCAGAGGAGAGGTGTGCTTTGTCACAGCAATTGAAGGCAAACTAGAACACCATGCAAACTTGCTGGGTAGTAATACAATCTTGGGAGTCTGACTGCTTTTATTTCTTTGACAATTGATAGCAGGAGATGGGGTGATAATAGAACAAATGGGTGTTTTCTTTTGTCCTATAATTAAATAAAATGAAATTAGGGCCCTGTATGATTACAGTGTACATGGGAAAGGTAACATTATCAACAAGATTAGTTTTTCCAGTTTATAGTAAGCACACACATAATGATGCCTCCATCATCAACTCTGAAAAGGAGCATCTTAATTAGATAGTTGGACAGAGCCTGACTTCTGTTAAAACCTTTGATTTTTTTTTTTTTTTTTTTTTTTTTTTTTAGACAGGGTCTCCCTGTAGCCCCAGCTGTCCTGGAACTCGCTATGTAGACCAGGCTGGCCTTGAACTCACAGAGATCCACCTGCCTCTGCCTCCTGAATGCAGATTGGAGGCATGCACCACCACGCCCGGACAACTTTGCATAATTTTTATATGAACGTTGTCAAAAAACATTCTTTGTTACAAGCACTTGTTATTTTTAGCACTCTAATTTGGTCACCAGAGTATACTCCACTGTGGAACTTTTGAGAAGTGTCAGGAAGGCACGGTGTTGTTCTCCTTCAACTCAGGCAGCAGGAGAGTAGGGCTCATTATTATTTGAAGAGTCTTTTGAAAGTCACATGGGAAAGCAAGCACTCCAAGGATCTTTCGATTCCTTTTAGCTTTGGCCAAAAGAATGGAATTATAGAGAAAGTCCAGCATCTTACTGCTGCTGGAGTACTTTTCGGTGGGTTACATGCTATAAAAAGTGATTATTTGCTGGGCAATGCAGATTGGTAAGCAAACAGAAATAATTATAGACAGGAACATGTTGAAGGGCTTGCAGACTTGTCCCTTGGTGTCAAACTATGGCCTGGAAGGCTTGGTAGCTCTTCTTATCTCAGGTAACAGTTGGTGTGTAAGGCTTAAAAAGCGGGGTATTTTTTCTTTTGAGTTTGGAACTAGACCAAGCCCTGTAGTTCCAACTCCTCCTTCCTTTAACCCTGACCTTTAAAAGATCCTGGTCAATTTGTTTCCTCTGAGGACTTCCAACACATCTGTGGTAGTAGATTTCCATTCATGAGTCTTCTGGCTCTTCTGAATTTGGATGACCGCACAAGTGTGGGAGAGCCAGGAGCGCAGCCACACACTAGTCTGCTTTGTCTTCTCTTCAGAATTCTCTGTTCCTATCTTGCTTCAAATTCTGACCAGTGAAGTGTGGTTCTTAAACACTGGACAACATGGTGGAGGTGAAGATCTGTTGTAAGATCTGAGGGATCTGCTTGGTGTCCATAGCAATAAAAGAGCGGCCAGCTGGTAGAGTTCTCTGAAGCCTGTAGGGAGGGGAAGGGAAAGAAATTACCATTGCAAATCAAGGCCCCCCTTCCAAACCTCTTGCCCTGGGCAAGCCTCAACAGCTAAATGGGCTCTTAAGAAAGGAAGCTTTCACTTTCTAATACCTGGCCCCACAGCCTGCAACTGAACTGGCCAGCACTGAGTTACAAAAGGCCTGGAAAAGCAACAGGGAAAGTACTGGCAAGCAATGAGCTCCAAGAAAGGTCTGCTTGGTGAGAAAATTAGTGAATGTGAAAAGAAAAGTCTCCCTTTCATGCCCACCATTTCCTGAGATAGAAGAGAGTCTTAGGGGCCCATATGGAATTAGCTCACCTGCATCTGGTCAAATGTGCTGGTCTCAGACTGTACTTCTAAGTGCTTCTCCTTTCTTAGAAAACAGGCCTCCAACTTGCAGCCCAGCCCCTTGAATAAGTGGGCTCTCTCTCTCTCTCCCCTCCTCTCCCCATTACATAATATGAAATGCAATCTGCACATCCAACTATTGCTCTGATGACAATACTGAGGTTATATAGACTTATGGTAATTTTTTAAATGTCAATTTATCATTTGGAACAAAAGGCCATCTTCGAAGGCAATAAAACTACAAGACACAGATGTACTGAAAAGAGCCTTCTTTCATTGTGCCAACAGAGTTTGGTTTCAGAATGATATTTAATAAAAATCAACCATCCTGTGTAGTATCATATATTTGGCATGCCTGGCAGACCAGTTAATACTGCAACATAACTTTTGCCAGTGGATGTTGGACCATTTCCCTAGGAAACCACAAGGGTATTATTGTGCTTTCTTAAGTATTCCAACAGGATCTGTTCATTAGAAAGACAAAAGAGCCATTTCAACTCCACCACTATTTGTTGAGCTTGCTGTCTGCCTAATGCTGGGCTTGTGCTGAGGAAATGTGGATAGAAAAGACATGGCTTGGTTTGAGGACAGGAAGGTTCTAAAAAATGTAAAGTGCTAACACATAAAAGTGAGAAAAATGCAGTCAGTGGCAATAACTGAAAAATAAAGTGACTGTGACTAAGCCTACAGCCAATGAGGGAACTAAGAGAAAGATGTCAGCACCTGAGCTGCTAAGTCCTGCCCTGGTTTGTATGAGTCTGTACACGGAGTGCAGCAGGTAAGATCAGTGGGAGACAAAGACAGGTCCTTGGTTTGTGAGGCAGGATTTCTGTTCGGAGATATACTTTCAGTTGTTTTTTCTGTTTTTTTTTTTGTGTGTGTGTGTGTGTGTGTGAGTATTTTACACAGAGAAAAACCATGAGCTCTGTTTGTAATTCAAAAAGATAAATGTTAGCATGCTTAAGTTATCAAAGTGTTTCTGGATCTCTCCTTTCAGGTCCTTCCCAGTGGTATTTATTGTCTGACCATAAATTTCTATAGTGAACATTCAGCATATCCAGTATAAGATATAACTCCCTCTCTCCCTCTTCCCCCCTCCCCCTCTCTCTCTATAGTCTTTCTTTGTCTCTGAAGTGTTCACCTATCTGGTTCTCTAGTAACAGACATATATATGTATACACACAGATACACACATTTATGTCTATATGTAGGCATATACATGTATGCTTACATATATCACTTATTGAAGAGTTAGTTTATAGGGGTATATATACATGTATATCTTTATATATGTCTGTCTAAATATACTACATATAGACATGCACACATACAAATTCATACAGTTTCTGTTATCAAAATAGTAGATGTGGGGCTGGAGAGATGGCTCAGTGGTTAAGAGCACTGACTGCTCTTGCAGAGGACCTGGGTTCGATTCCCAGCACCCACACGGCAGTACGAACCATCCTTAACTCCAGTTCCAGGGGAATCCAAAGCCCTCTTCTGACCTCCGCGGCACTGCACGGCACGGGTGTGTGGGACCCTGACTCGTCTAACCACTTCTTTCTGCTTCTGTAATTTGCTTGGCTTGAGGCAGCACTAACTCCCTTTTGACTAGCTGTTTCAGGCAAGCCTGGGCATGCCCAGGCATGTTGTAATCTTCAGTTACCACCCCCATCCTGGAAAGCTACAGATCAAGCAAGCCCAGGCATATAGCAGCCTTATAAGGTAAAAACAGAAACTTCTGGCCCCACAAATAACTTCTGGCCCCTACCAATAAGAATCCTCCCCATACTCAGGGCATAGGGCCATCCAGTCATTTTAAAGAATGCTTGGTGTGCGTGGGCTTCTGTGAAACTTCCCTATAAAAGCCTATCCCACCCTAGATCGGGGCTCTCAGTATGGATCCACTGCATCAGTGAAATCTGAGGGCCCGAGCTTAAGCCCGAATAAAAGCTCTTTGCTGTTGCATACACTCCAGACTCCTTGGTGGTCATTGGGGGTCACGAGATCTGGGCATAACAGGGTGCACTCACATACATGCAGCCAATATACTCATATACATGAAATGAAAAAAAACATAATACTTGATGTTTACTATTGTTTGTTTCTTTCCTTTTGTTTTTTTAATACTTGGGCTTGAACCTGGGGCCACATGCATGTTACATAGGTGCTCTACTACTGAGCTTCAACCTCAGCCCTAGATGTTTATAATTTTGAATATGATTTGAATACAAACTGATTAGACTGGGCTTGGAATCTCTGTAAAGTGCTGACTGTGTAAAATATTGTCTAATGTGTTAGTGGGGAAGTCAATTTGGTAATTATTTATTTTATGATTAGTTTAAATACAAACTGAGAAACAAAATTATGAATTTTTATAAAAATCCTAGAGCATCTATCAAACCTATGACTGCTTGTCCAAACAAGCTAGAGCACTGCTCCCAAGTAGATTATAAGTTGCTTCAGGGTAGGACCTCTAGATTCTGTTTTTCCTCTCTTCCTCCTCAGGGCTAAATCCAAGAAACAGCACATGCCAGGCATTTATTGTATTTGCTCTTTGCTACAGGAAAACTTACTTGGCTGCTTGATCCCCCAAAGATCCAATGAAAATGGCAAAGGCATTAACTTGAGGGTCACTAGTAAGAATTTGGGCAAACTTGGCAGGATGTATTCCATATCTTGACAGATTTGCATCACTTAAGACTATGACAAAGTACTCATCAGCTTCTTCTTTGGTAATGTCCTTGATGGCATGTTCTGTCCCCTCGAGCGTGTGGTCCCCACTCATGCAGAACTGAGAGTGGGCATGCATTGTCTGTATGTAAGGAAAGAGCACAGAATCATAGGTGAGAAACTCCTTTTTAACAAATGTGGTTTTTCTACTGATAGTGAAACTGCAGATGTGCCAATTACTACAAGCAAGTACAAGTGTCTGAATGAACTCTAGATTTACACATTAGAGTGACAACACAGCACAGTGATACTTGCATTAGACACAGGATTTGTTCTAAAACTATCATGACTTAGTTTTAAAATTCAAGCTCCAATTTAAAGTGAGAAAAATATAAGAGAATATGAAACTTGGCGTGACCCTGAAGAGGTATGAGACAGCAGAGACATAAGCAATGGACCGAACTTCCAGTGAACAGTCATTCTGTACTATAAACACTTTTCAGAAGCAGTGGGAGAGATTTGTTTGAAAACCACAATGAATATATTTCTACTGCAGATTTAAGCATGTAAAATTGAATTATCATCCAAAACGACTAAGAAATATATAAAATGTATAGAGTCCTCTAAAAGGGCCATACTTTCCTTTCTACTGAGCATGTTGGGCACACGAGGTGCCCCAGGTTACTCCTAACACAGTGCAAGAGGCACAACCCCAGAGAAACACGGTACTCTGAAAATACATAGTGAAAAATTTAAATTTGGATGCTGGAAAAAGGATTTTAGACATGAAAGACATTTTCTATTTAAGGCTTGGATGTTTATGGAATTGATAGCCTGCTTCTTTCCTAAAGCTACTGCTTCTTCAGCCAATCTGTTTATTTTTTCTCCAATCTGATAAAAGTTCTCACAATATAGAGGTAACAGAAAGTATTTACCTTCAGAATATCTAGTCTCTGTTTATTGTCCTTGGGGACTTTGTTCATTGGAACAAGGGCAATGTTGTAGCCGTCTCCAGAGTGTCCAGCAATGTCATACTATAGACAAGAGAGTCGGAGAGTTAGAAAGTCTGTCCCTTACAGAGCAATCATTGCTCCTGTAAATCTCCAACTCCAGATGTTCCAGGTTATTCAACATTTGTCCATAAAGAAATGTAGAATAACAACAGAGGCAGATGTGTGTTGATCAAAGCCCCCCCCCCCCAAAATAATAAAAATTTAGACTCATTCCTTTTGGGTCCACCTTCTTTTGTGATCTCTGGAAAGAATAATGAGGACACCGGGGGCTACCTCAAATTTCATTTGTAAGTTTCAAGGGAGACTCTGCACACACACACACACACAGTGTTAGGCAGAACACAAAAGGGATCTCAGGATTCCAGCTGCAATGCTCTCTATAATCTCCCCATAATTGTGGTCAAGTCCTGTAAACACAATGAAATATCACTTATGATTACATTAACTTACATGGCGAAAGGGATTCTGCAGATGTAATTAAATTTACTTGACTGTGAGTTAATCAAAAGATGGATTATCTGGTGCTCCTAACCTAATCACAGGAGCCTCTTGAAAGCAGAAAGTTTTTCCTAGCTGCTCTCTCCAGGGAGCACTCTGAGCCTGGCCCTGCCCTCACCTCCCTCTGCTTCCCTGGGCCTGCACTACTCACAGGCCTCTCTCCAGGGTAAGTTGATCATGCCCTCCTTGCCTTGACTCCCCCAACCTCATTCACCCTCCCATCTCTCCCGCAGGTCTCTCCTCCTAGCCTATGTCCTGTCCCATTCCTTGTCTTGGCGCCCCAGAGAGCTGGGGAACCACCACTGCTTCCTGATCCTGTGCATCCAGACCAACTCAGTTCCTTCTCAGGTCCCCAGGAACACTCTGGGCCTGACCCCGCCCTCACCTCCTTCTACTTCCCTGGGCCAGCAGGACCACCAGCCTCTTTCCTGGACGCCAAGGCTGACCTTTCTCTTCCTGATCCTTTGCATCCAGACAAACCTAGCTCCTCAGTGTAGTTCACAGGAGCCCTTGGGGCTGCTTCCCGCCCCCACCTTCCTTTGCAACTCTGGGTGGCATAGCCACCAGCCGCCTTAGACCAGCATATTTCCTGGGCCCGGCTCCCAGGCCAGTCCAACCCCCAAATTCCTGAGGCCAAAATCTTTCCTGGAGGGTTCCAGACCTTAGGAGAAAGCCTGAGAGCATCTGATCCTCATCTGACTTGGGCCTCTGTGGAAACTCCTGAAGACAAAAGCAATCTGGCCACTCCAATATAAAATCAAAACAGAGAACCAGAAGCTAGAGGAACCATCTTTTCATGCCCCCAAAGTAAACCACAGACACATAAAATTCACGAAAAGAAGCAGACCTAAACTTGAAGGCTTGAGTCCCACACAAGAATCAGAAACTACAAAAGAAATTCACATGTCAAAATCAGAGAAGAAATAATAACATGAAAAACCAAAATAACATATCACCAACAAATACCAATAGCCCTCTAGAGGAGTACAATGAGAACCCCCTAGAGATAATGCAGGACATGGAACTCAAAAGAACAATTATAAACATAAAAGAATTCAGCAAATTTAAAGGACACACAAAAAAAGAAATCAAAGAACTGTAGGAAAACAGGGATAAACTTCTGAATGAATTCAGAAAACTTAGAAATATTGAA